GAATTACATAATTTAATTAATAACTCCTTACAGTTTAGCGATGAAGAGGAAGAAACTAAGAGGATTGTGCGTTCGACGAAGGAGGAAAGATATGAAGAAATCGCAAATCTAATTAAGCTCATAAGGAACTACAAGAAGATCAAAGATATGAGCAGCATGTTAACTAGTTTTGAAGCTTTGAAGACTGCCTACCAAAAGGCATTGCCTGTAATAGCAAAAGAAGAAGGTGGTCAAACGCCACGTTTTTATATCAGATGTCTGGTAGAAATGGAGGATTTCATCATTGACGTGTGGGAGGATCGTGAAGGTCGACAAGAACATGTCTAAAAACAATTCCAAGTCGTTGACCTCGCTACGTCAGAAGCTTCGTAAATACAATAAAGATTTCGAGGAGGACATAGCAAAATTCCGGGAGAATCCTGATCAGGACGATGACGAAGAAGAAGAGAAACCTGAGGAACTCGCGGAGTCGGAGGAAGAGGACGACAGTGCTGTTGCCTTCAAGAAAGCTGGATCGGAAGCAAGCGAGCCGGACACTTCGAAATTTAAGAAGAGCGTCGCTGATGGAGACGATGGAAGCGAGAGCGAATCCGATTGGGGTAGTTCCTCGGACAGCGAGAGCACGAGCAGCGAAGATGAAGGACAGTACCAAAATATCCGTGAACGATTCATAAAGCGAGCGAAGGACGAGGAAGAGGAGGACAAGGCGAAACGGAAGGAGCAGCGGAAGGAACGGAAAGAGAAGGAACGGAAAAAGAAGCGGGACGAAGACGATGGAGAAGGCGAATGGGAAACAGTGAAGGGAGGCGTCGCTATTCCATCCGAGAAACCGAAAATGTTCGCCAAAGACGCTGAGATCAATGTAGCTGCTGTCTTGAAGAAGCTAAACGAAATCATTGCTGCTCGTGGAAAGAAACGTACCGATCGCAGGGAACAGATCGAACTCCTGCACGAATTACAGTCCATAGCCGACGCTCACAATCTTGGCCCAGCAGTAGCTGTGAAGATCAAGTTTTCTATAGTATCATCGATCTTCGATTACAATCCGAAAGTATCGGACGCGATGAAGCCCGAGTATTGGTCAAAGATACTGGAGCGTATCACGGAGATGCTCGAAATGTTATTGAGCACAAAGGACATGATCATCGCTGAGGTTGTGTCCGAAGAGGGAGAGGAGTACGAAACGCCTCCGTACAAAATACACGGTTGTGTTTTGACGTTGGTGGAACGTTTAGACGAAGAGTTTATTAAACTGTTGAAAGAACGCGACCCACACAGTAATGAGTATGTGGAGAGGTTGAAGGATGAGAAACAGGTGTCCGCTATAATAGACCGTGCAAGTCATGGAGAAACTTTGTAAATACGTATACGCTCACGATAGCACGGACAGGCTCAGAACCCGTGCGATCCTCTCGCATATTTATCACCACGCCCTCCACGACAACTGGTTCCAAGCTCGCGATCTTATCCTGATGTCGCACTTGCAAGAAACTATCCAGCATTCCGATCCGGCCACGCAAATCTTGTACAACAGGACGATCGCTCATCTGGGCTTGTGCGCGTTCCGCCACGCGAACATCAAAGATGCCCATAACTGTTTGGTCGATTTGATGGTCACTGGTAAGGTGAAGGAGCTGCTGGCGCAAGGCCTGCTGCCTCAGAGGCAACACGAGCGCAGCAAAGAGCAAGAGAAGATTGAGAAACAGAGGCAAATGCCTTTCCACATGCACATCAACCTGGAGCTTCTCGAATGCGTTTACCTGGTCTCCGCGATGCTCATTGAGATCCCGTACATGGCTGCGCACGAATTCGACGCGAGAAGAAGGATGATATCTAAGACTTTCTACCAGCAGCTGCGATCCAGCGAACGTCAGTCGTTGGTAGGGCCACCGGAGTCGATGAGGGAGCACGTGGTCGCCGCTGCAAAGGCTATGCGTAACGGAAACTGGCTGGCTTGCAATAACTTCATTATCAACGAGAAGATGAACGCGAAGGTGTGGGATCTCTTCTATCAGGCTGGCAAGGTTCGCGATATGCTTACAAGACTGATCAAAGAGGAAGCGTTGAGAACGTATTTGTTCACTTATTCCCACGTGTACGACTCGATATCCATGCCGAAACTGGCGGAGATGTTCCAGCTGAAACGACCAATTGTACATTCCATCATAAGCAAAATGATCATAAACGAGGAGCTGATGGCGTCGCTGGACGACCCGACGGAGACCGTCGTGATGCATCGCAGCGAGCCCAGTCGACTCCAATCTTTGGCGCTCCAGCTCACTGACAAGGTGAACAACTTCGTCGATTCCAACGAACGCATCTTCGAAATGAAGCAAGGTAATTTATGGGAATTCTCTAGTTTACTTTTGTTAAATTGTGATATAATACTGAATTTTTGTATTGTGCAACAGGAAACTTCTTCTCGAGAGGGAACCAAGGAAACTTCCGCGACAGGCAAAACTACAATAGGCAGGATCGGGATTGGGGCCGGCAGAGACGCGACCGCGACAGGGATCGTAATAGGGAAGACAATCGAAATTATTGAATCATAAATTAAACTGAATATTATTTACGCGGGTGTAAATAATGGAAATAACAGTATATATGACAAGCGTATATTATTTTAACATATATTCTTACTTCGTACTTCCTATTTACATTTATCGTACAAAAATAAACAACATCGTATTGTTACTCGTAATTATTAAATTAATTATAGCGTACGGACGACGCTTATATGTCTTGGACTTTCTCGAGTATTTTATTACCAGTTATTACGCTATCCGACGCTATAACGAGTCGGATCCCGGCGGCCTTCTCTATAAATCGGCAGGCTGTTATCTCGGCATAGGAAATGCCGCCGATAACGCATATCACTACCATCTTTGGTAACAACGAACCACGTTGACCACTTATAACGCAATTCGATAAATTAGCTAATTCGTCTAAAGTCCTCGAATCTTTGTCCTGACTCGCCACGGTGTTTAACACCTGAGCCTGTTGAAACGTACACTGTGAATTCCACCAAGGTACTGAGTAACTTAATCGATTCGGATACTAACGATCAGTGGTACATAAGCATTATTAAAAACGTAGCCAGGGCCCTTTTGCTCCGTTTGTTTTAAGTATCCGGGCAATAATTTCAACTTCTGCGCGTTGTTGTTCCACTCGCTGTTCCAGTTCGGTAATTTGTGTAAAATGTTCTCCGCTCTGCATTTCAACAGGCCTATACTCTGCAATTTATAGAACAGCGGTATATGCTTGTAACCGTGAGCGTGGAGGTGAAGCTTTTGGACAGAGTGCAGCTCGTTCTGAGTAACTCCGTCGCTTGCAATTGACAACAGACACAGCAGGCGTATTGTCCTCAGAGGATTCTCATCTGAAAAATCACTATTGAAAAATGAATTCTATGATTTATGACTACGTGTACCTATGTATCGTTCTATGTGATTCAAGCACTCCTTCCTCTCTTTGCACTCGAGTATCCACTTCTCTATTCTCTGCAACGTTTGAAAATCTGAACTCAAAGTGTCTGCGATCAATTGGCAGGCGGATATGTGAAAGGCGAGCTGCCTCGTGAGATCCCTCGTCTTGTGCAATCTCGTCGCCACGTACCGCTCCATCTCGGCCAGCTTCATCGTCTGTATCGCGCCCTGTTCCGCTGATGCGCAACATTATTACTAATTTTATGTACTACAAAAATTGAATTTTTGAGAGAAACTTGTTCAAATACATTTGAGAGATTTGGCCTTCCCGTGCAGGATCGGGAATACCTCGCTGCATGGCGTGTCCCTAACTTCTCCGTAAATCTGATCTTTATCAGGGTCCAGTTTGGTCTGGGACTTGCCCAGAGTACCGATGCCGACGTTTATCTCCACCACTTCGTGCAACAATCCGGCGTAAGTGACAGGAGTCAAAAGCGGCGTGACTAAATCGCAATTTCTGTCAATCACAATCAAAGCCCCTATTTCGTTCTCTATGTTGGAGGAGCCCAAACACTGCCTCATCGATTCAATGATTTTTAACGTCTGCTGGCTGTGTTTCCCAACAGACACGGTCAGTTTTGGCGAACCGAGAACAAGCTGCAGTGACCACAGGCCACGTGCTAACGCTGGTAGCAATGTGGTATCTTTGTGGTAATACAGATCTGTAAACATACAGTTCTCCAGAGATAAGACGTTCCCGTCTAATCTTATGAATTCCCACGACAGTGTTTGTAAAGTAACCAGCCCGGACAGACCTAAGCAAACGTTATCATTGTTAGTCTATCGTGACATCTGATTCTGTTAGATTATGTCGCGAAGTAATCACCCTCTTCTTCGATTATTGAGTTAAGGACAGTGGGCACGAACGGAGTGACCAAGATGTGGTGGCTCGGTGGCACGTGTGGCCTCGCGTTTGGAGGAATCTCAGACTGTATTTGATCCAAAATCCTTTTACAAGCGATTAAATCGCTTGAAACCAGAAATACGTGCTGTGCATTCATCAGCTTCAACCCCTGTTCCATTTTATAAATCTTCTCGACGCCATAACGTCTAAACGAGACAAACGAGATGAATGGTTATTTTTTATTCCTGTTGAAGATACTCAATAATTACTTGAGCACGGAAATTCCCACGAAGCAATCCAAAATTTTCATAAGCTTCTGTTCAATGACCAAGTCTTTGGCTCCGGGTATCGTGTCCAATATCTCGACCAGTTTTCGTTGACTTATCTGCTGTAGAACATTCAACCTATCGTCCAATGTGATGTCCATGTTTCTCCGACCCTGACGGGATATGCCGTGATTTTTTTCGTTAATCGACGCTCAAAGTTTATTGACGTTCATTCGTTCGCTTTCGATTTCGGATTAAATCGTCGTTAATCGAGTATCGGCTCCGTTTCAGCGGAGGAGCATGATAGAGCATGACAGATCGCAGCACCACGGGTAGTGCGCCCATGTGGTAAACCCTCGTGAACGTAAACCGTAGCGTAGTGTGTAGCAAATCGCGTCCGATCCTCACGCGTACACATTCTTCATCGGTAGGGTTATTTAAAAATGGCGGACGCATCGTCTTCCGATACTACCTCAGATTGTTGCAATGAATGGTACTCTGATATTACCTCCGAAAAATCGGAGTACGTTATAGTGGGCGAGAAGCCGTGTCTCTCCCATCGTCGCAGCAAGAGGCACTTCCTGCAGAAGCTATTTTTACGAGAGGTAAGCCCGTTTAACCTTGTGGCAAGCGCGAGGCATCGAGGCGAACGAACGTTGACAGCGTATGCCTGTCAAAATACTCCGATAATCTGTGAAAAAACGATCGAACCGCAACCGTCCTAAGAATCTACATTCCTCCACGAAGTCGTACACGCTCATTGTTGAACGATACGTCGTGCTCCATTCCCGATGGGCGCAAGAAAAAATCTGCTCTTGATCTTGCTCCGTCGATTCTTCTCGTCCGAATTCTTTCTGTCATTGCTCGAACAAATCGAAACGCTTCGTCATGAAGCTTGAAGAAAAAATGTAGATTGAACAGATACAAACGAGTGGATGAAATGTTAACGCTTCACACCGATGGGAAACAGTAAAGAGATCGTCGAAAAGGAAGGGATGATTTTTTTCATAGATCGTAGCTTGTTCTTAATTTATCTGATTTCTTTTGTCATCATTCAAAGACTTCGAATGAAGTTCGAAGTAAAAATGTAGATAGAATAAATACGAACGAGGGGTGGAAATTTCAAAGCCTCACATTGATGGTAAACAGTAAAAGGGAGAATGACATTTTTTTTTATAGATCAGAGGTTGTTTATCAGCGCACAATTATGCCTCGGAGGAAAAATTATTCGCCGCTGTACCTTCATGGAGACACTTGCCGCTGCTACACATAATCCCGAAATCAGCGTTAGAAGCAGGGTACGTTTGTAGCATGTATAGATTATAATCAAAAGGAATACATAGAATGAAAGATCGTTTGTTAATTAGCCAAACTTGTAATAATAATAATAATAATAATTGTTATGATTAAAGACATATTGTAATGGGATTGACACAATGTGGTCAGTTTTTACTTACATACACATTCTCCATCGACGTGAGTGGCACTACCTCTTTCTATAAATACTTGTTACACTGGTGGGCATTTACTCCGAATCACGTAGCGCGTAAAGTCGCGGAAGTTACGCTGTTCGGTAATTACACTATCTATAGAGAATTAAGTATCGTTATATCTCAGTGGCCAATGGAAAGGAACAAGCTAGTGATACACGGTCTTTGGTAAGGATTTCTGTCCTCCTCCATAAGTTAAACTGAACTGAACTGCGAAACTTACGTGAGACTTAATTTTCCAGTACAAACCTTCCGCCGACAGACAGAGCATACTTAACAATAACTACGGTACCGTCTCTGGATAATTGTAAAGACTGCTTGAAAGTGGCCGCGTCGTACGAAGAAGAGGGCGAAGGTAGAGTAACGTTGCCTGCGTTGCAAATCTGTTAAACGTGCATATCAGTATTCCAGACTTGTTGATTTACAGAGTTAGCGGCTAATTGGGACGGTTGTGTACGGTGTAACTGCCTCCAGCATGGGCTCACTGTCCATACGACCTACGAAGTAATTTCCCCATATCCTAGGTTCCGTGCCACTGTGTGCTTGAATTACACGAACCACGTGGTAGTTAACACAGGCAACTTTTTACATGTGCTCAGGGTGGATTTGGACATTCCGCGATCGAAAAATCAAAGGTCTTGCGATAAGATGCAGGACACCGTGATACCCGACGCGATGTCGTTAGACGTGAGCGATGTCGAGGAATTGGATTACACGAAAATGCTGGAACGTTACGAGAGTTCCGACGAGAAGGCTGGCACGCCCGAGTGCGTGGCCGATCAGCTGTCCCGGTGCGACACGAATATAGAACACGAATTTTTAGAGGAATCAATTAAATTAGATGATAAGTTAGGTCGTGATTCGTTAAATACCTCAAACTCCAATCAAAGCGACTGTGTCTGTGATACGAAAAGATCTGTGGACGCGAAATCGTGCGAGTGTTCCGCGGACTCCGGTGAATGCAAGTGCTGCAATGACATCCCGATCGTCCGAACTGAGCAACACGCGATCTCGGTGAGGGACAAGATCCTGCAGGACTTCTGCGAGGACATATCCCAAGAGCTGAACATCGGCAGTGATCTGATTACCCTAGTGAAGCACCCCTCGTGTTCTCCGCGATCCGCGCCCCAGAGACTTCCCGCCGATCTCAAAACGATGACCTGGTCCTCACCGATCCTCACTCCGCCTTCGGACATACTGAAGACGCGGAACACGGAGTCTAGTCATAAAGGTACGCGCGGTCAACGATCCAGTTCCCCTCAGCCTGGCGGTTCGACGGATGGAAACGTCGCTGCAGTTAATTCCCCGTTGCACTCGGTCTCCGTGAGCTCTTCCTCGTCGCGCACGACGCGCCTGATGTCGCCCCCGGTGACGAGGTCCTTCCGCCATCCGAGTCCACGCAAAAGGTCGAACCTGCACTCGCCTCCGCCGATCGTGAGCACGACGTCGACGAGGACGACGAGAGCCACGTATAAGCTCACTCTTGAGGCTGAGAAAGCGTACGAGTTCACGGACGAGTCGCAGGAGACCTGTGAGAAGCTCAGCTCGTTCCGGAAACGCAGGCTCGCCGATAAGAAATACGAGTTCTGCGAGACCGAGGACGCAGAGAACATAGTTCCTTTCAAGCACATACGGGATCAATTCAATCGTGGCTGTTCCATACACCAGATATCGTCCTCACCGACGATGTCTCCGGTACTTCCAAACGGTAAGAAGCACTGGGTGGATTCCGACCAGAGCGAAACCGATGATCTCAGCGTTAATCAGGATATCGCGTCCAACGACTTATCGGATTCAGGTAAATTAAAAATTTTCCAATTATACTGTTTTACATGATCGCCTGTTTTACGTGATGCTTTTCACTTGCCAGCCGAGAAGAATGTATTGCGTCCATTAAACCAGAATCAGTTGCCTAACGGTGGTTTCAACAGGGACCGTATCAACAAGTATTCCGTCAACTCCTCGCCATTAGTTCCGAAATTCAATTTACAGTATCCTAGTATAAAGTGTACGGCGCATTTCAAGAGGAGCTACATAGAACTCGACGACGAGATGATATCAGTCATCACGGACGTCGAAGGTACTTCGTTCGCAATGATGGAATCAATTTGTCATCTAAATAAAAATGTAATAACGGTGAACGTTTCGTAGACGAGGAAACGGGAGGATACGTCAGTTATCAATGCGTGCTTCCTATGCATGTCCACGGATCTGGATATGTTCAAATGCAAATGATCAGCAACATTAAAGCCGAGAGATTGGTATCGCTTTGAACCCTTGCATTCGTTTCGTCTGATATACAATGAAATTGCGAATTCGTATTTCAATGCAATCGTTAACGATCTTTTCAGATCGTACCTATCGTCTCGATAAACCAACGGAGCTTCGATATCGAGACGTTCTCTCACCACATCGCCGACTGGATGTGTACGATATTCAAAAAGAGATACTGGCACTGCAGCGACTACGACATAGAAATAATAGACGTATGCGCGTTGAGCGGTGACATTATCTGTCTGCTGATCATGAAGATCCAGGCTAGTGAAATTAACAGTCAAACTCAATGGTTAGTTAAACGATATATTAACGATAACGATTTTTATCGTTTGTCTTTAAAACGTGTCTGCATTTCGATGGCGCAGCTCTCCGGAGAGGAAACAGTACGAAGTGGGATGTAAGTTCACGTGGAATATCGACACGAGCCAGTACAGAATAACGGACATACTGCCATTGGAGGAAGCGAAGCCGGAGGTGTGGGTCCCAAATTGTATTTTAAATTACCGCAGTCCGTTGTGGAATCCGACTAGGCGTCTGGCGCCGAAGTTGAGGGAGAAGATACAACAACCGTACGCGCATACGATACGATTTCTGCATAACGAAATGACATTGGCAGGTGAGTGTCTGAAACAGGACAAGGGTGTAATTTAAAACAAGAGATGCTCCTAATACAAGAGTGTGTAACTTTTAGGGGAATCGATAACCAGACTGTACGACTTGGACAATCTGGTGGCATTTTACATAACGCCAATGTCGAACTATTCCTCGACCGAATGAAGTAATCATCGGCGATTGTCGACAATATGTTGTAAACAATAATTCGTTTATTGTTACGAATCTAAAGGTTCCGTAAGTTAGTAAGTACAATTGTAATGGAATCGTCGTTCCCCGTACATAAAATTTACGATAACTATTACAGAGAATCGTTAGTTCCAAGCGGTGATATTAACTGCGGATATAATACGTTGTACGATAGACTCTTAGCAGGCTTTCTTTCGCAAGAAAGAAAGAGAGAGAGAGAGAGTAATTTCCGATTATTAAGTGCGGCTGTTGTAACGGATTGTCCAAAATTGAACATAGAGTTAAGGGGTAACTGAACAACGAACGTTACAAGCATCTGCTTGAATTTTTGTAAATTATATTCTAACGCTATACATTGACTATCTATACACTTATAGATAACTTTGGTAATTTATTACCAGATATACATAGGTAAACTAAGAACTGATTGTCGATGAGTGTTATATTGTAGGTGGTTTCAAAGTAAGGCGAAGAACGAATAACGACAAAGTATTTAGTAATTTTTGGTCCCCCGAAATTAACACGCGATTCGCGAAAAGAAAAATATATATATATTATATATTTACGTTCTAATTTTTGATTCTCTTATGCCGAAATTTGCCCTAGCTAGATTTCCCATAGGATCGAATAACATTTATTATTTAAGTTTGCGCGTGAACGTTCGCGCAATCAATTTGTATTATAAAGCCATTTTACCATAGACTTTTTTATATCTGACAAACAGAATATACAGGGTGTACCATTTGAAATTTCGGTAAACTCCAAATAGTACACCCGTGCATATAAATATATATATAAACGTGCAACAATGTGCGACTAACGGATGCATTGTAATTTATATGTAAGTACCGGCCCGATCTTTCGAGAGAAGACGTTTAAGACTCGGGAGATAAAAGTTATTTAAATTTGCTGAAGCAGCCACGATGAAGCTGGTACGGTCTGTTTCATAAATGCAATAAAATGTTTGTCATTAATCGATGGCTTCACGTTTCTTTGTTTTACCTTGGTAAATGCGTGAGACAACGTGTGTGCACGTTCGACGAGAAAAACTGAAAAGTTCAAATCGGGATCTTGATCGGCGGCCCTACGTTAACGTCGGATCCGACTCCGTCGAGTTTCAAACCGGTGAGAATCTCTTCCCACGCGTTCATACACTGCTGGTAATGCCGGATCTGCCGATCCGCCATCGAGATCAACATGCTTTTCAAATCCGTTTGCTTCTCCGCGTTCCATCTCTGCAGATCGCTCCGCAGATTTTCGTTCGCGCACTCGACACGGTCTTGCAACAACTCCGCTTGTTTCGCCAACCGCGGTATGGCTTGTCCGAGTCTCTCCAACTTTTCATCCCGGGATTCCGCCTTCCAAAGCGACCCGCCCCAATTCTGCGCCGTGGAGGCACCGCTCGTGAAACCCATCAGCTGCTTAAACAATCAGTCGTCACCATCTGTCACAGTATTACCCGTGTTTTCAAGTTTCAAGTGCAATTCACCTGGTCCTTCTCGAGTCTCTTCTTCGCCAATTCATCGACGGTCATCTCGTACTCGATCTGCATCGAATCTCGTCTCGACAAAGCGCCTTTAACCGCGTCTACGTAAGAAATATATTCCCTTTCGTCGTTAGGAATATTCTCCAACAGTTTCTGATGAGCCATCGCGTTGCACTCAATCGCTTTGGCGATCGCCAACAGGAACGGAGCTAATTCTGGCTCGGAGGTTGCCCACAGAGTGAAGATCGGGTGCAACTGATGCAATTCCAGCAAGTAATCTAACACGATATAATAATGTAAAGATGTATGTACTAAAGAAATCAAATCGGTTGAACTGTACCTTGCCTCTCTTTATGTATACGATGATTTATCTTATCTATCGTCGCTAACTTTTCGCCAAGGACTATGCAATAATCTCGAATCTGTTCGAATTCGAAATGACGTTGTTTCATAGTATACGTGCTCGCCATGTTTTGCAGAGAGTCAGTCATTTTTACGAGAACGTTCCCACGACTTTTACGACGTACAAGAAACTCCTGAGAAAAATGAATAATGCAAATATCCAATATTTCGTGTAGGACTACGTAAAGCTACGTGTAGAACGCTTACTGCGGGTTTGGTAGTCAAGAAAATATGAAGATTCTTGTCGCAGCTAAGAATCGGATGGTTCACTACTCTGTTAAGAAACACATGTAACAGTTTCATGCGTGCTATGATAAATTCTTTCGAGTAACGATCTAATTGAGCAAGTAGCGTGTGCTTTCCAGGCATCGGCTGCAATAATAACATTAATATGCAACAAGTTTGATCAAGAGTATCATATCGTGTAAAAACGATTGCTCACTGGTATGATATGTGTGGGATAAGAATCCACTAGTTTCTGTCGCAGCCAAATAAAATCATTGTAACGTCTTCTGACGACATATTCTCCCTCTTCGTATTCAGGTCTCGTCGACTAAAATCAAATAAAAGTCATTCGAATTGCTAATGATCAGACAGAAGCAGACAAAACGTACTTTGGTCGTTATACGAAAAGTGATGTAAGTCTCGAGAGTCTCGAGATGCTTCTGTGGATTATCGACTTTCACTTGCAGATCTCTGGAGTCTGTCTGGAAATCTGAGATCTCCTGTTCTGGGAGAGTAGAGAAACTGTCAATCGAAGGTGACGCGATCTGGAAATCGACGGGCACATCGAGCGTTCATTTAAATGATCAATGTTCTCGATCAGAGATCGAAACTCGTGACTGTCATAGAGGAAAGATGCAGGTTAAATTCTCACCACGGAGCCCTCGACGGACGTGCTACAGTTCGAGAGGAAATCAACGTCGCGGTTCTCCTGCTTCGCAACACCGCCCAAAGGCATCGTGCTCACTTCGAGAATCGCGGAGTCCTCCGCGTTTTTCTCTTCGTTGAGATTCTCCACCTCGATTTCTGAAGAGGTCATCATCTTTAAACTGTCAGACGAGGCGACGAAGCTTTAACGACACTGCGTCACGATGCGCAGCGTTGGCCGCAGCCACGAGTACGATACGCACATCGATCATTTTTCGAAAGCGGAGAGAAAACTTTGCAAAGCTAATTGGAAAAAATCGCGGATTGCCGTTTACCCGCCTTTTTCCCCCCATTAGATTACTTTTCCAAAAGAAACCGTGGTTGTACATTGTTCCCTCACGTGATTTGACGAACGCTTCGTCCGACGTTCGACTGTCGCCAGACGTAGCCGAATTAATTTCATGTCTGCAAAGAGCAAATAATTTGCGCCCGTGGAAACCGTATCTCTGGGATACAGTCGGCAAATTTTTCCCGCGATCAGAATATTCGAAACTTTCGCGTGGACCTGCGGCTAGAGCATGGAGTGGCCGGAAGACGACGAGTACGATTCTCCGTTTTCCAAGAGATATTCCATAATGATGGCGGAAGAGCCGTCGTTGCCAATTATTTATTACCGATCGCAAAATCTGTTACCCAGTAAGTGCCCCGTACCCTTTTAAATCCCTTCAAACCTCGGGAAACAAATAAAGTTTTCCTGACTCCGTGCGGTCGTCATCCCACGTTTACACGATCGTTCGAAAGAGATTCCTTATCCGCGTTATTCGCCTACGATGACGGTAATTATATTCGCGGATGATCAATAATTTCCGATTTTTCGTCGTTCGATGCATTCGAAGAGCGCGTCGCGTGAAAGCGCGATGCATTTGCACGGTGACTCATTGATTTTAAACGGAAGGTATAGATTTTATGGTAGGTCAGAGATTAGACGTGTAATTGGAAAAAATCTGGATCTAATCTAAATGATTAGTCTGATTAGCACAACGCGAACCGGGTGTGTAGCATCGTGATACACGGCCTGGCCACGCGGTTGCGCATAGGCAAAGTGTTAACGCAGCTTCCATTCCTAGTTAACAATCGTCACCTTCGGGGAATCGATTACCTGTATAAAAAAAAATGAATTAAATCTTATCTCTCCGAGCAATTATAGATTTTTGAGATTCAACCGAACGAGTTCTACCCGACTGTCCGTCTGTTAGAAGATAGGGGCACGCGCGGCATTGCCCACGTGCGTATCAACCATTTCGTAGACCCGGAGATTTGTTTAATATTTCTTTTAATCGATTCTTTAAGTAACATCGTTGAAAAATTCTATTTAAAACTGCTGTAATTCAAGTCATTGTATTAGGTGAAAGTGTCATATTAATTTTCATATTCCTGTCTACAGAACTGAGTTAGAATGAGATTCTAGTAAGACAGAATCATTGGAATAAATCGCGATTTATTACGTCCCATTTATATCGCTCGAGGAATCAGGATTATTATTTACGTGTTATCAATAATCTCGTAAAATTTATAGAGAAATTGCAGGAAGAGAAAGATTGAAAATTTTTGTCCGACACGAACAGCCGATTTTGAAAGTTAGCGAATAAGTATATGTAGCTCACTTCCTGGTTATCGCGGCCAGGGTGGAGGCAGATTAGATACGACACTGGTCGTGACGCGGGCAGTGATGCCGTAGTCAAGGAGACCGCAGCAGCAGACAACCAACACTCCGACCAGCCGTCGACAACAAAATATACAGGTTCGTCGGAGTGTGCTGCTCCGCTTTTCCACTTGTACGGTGGCCTGGCCGTCCGCGCGGTTTCCTGGGTGACAAGTACGCCGGTTCCTCGTACGGGATAAAAGCCCGTGTTTCGGAAATACGTGGGGGGAACGTACCCGTTCGGCCGCGCAAGTGCGCCCGGGCGTCGTGTCGAGAGTACACGCCATTCATGAAGACAGGTGAGTAAAAAAGAGACGTAAAGAACCGCGCTACCGTCATCCTTCGAACCACCTAACCACCGATCTCTTTATTAACTACGATCCGGAATTAAATCGGCGATCAACGTGCTCGAACGTCCAATGTACTTCCGCTCTTATCGCTCGAACCGACCGAGTTCTCTCGTCCGCAATATCTAGTTTGCCCTGTGACAATTCACACGATAGAATCATCGAATACTAACTACACTATTCAAAGATAACAGTGAAAAATTGACGGATTCTTCTTTATTAGGTTTCTCGCCGCCAGGACACTATGTCATTGTTACATGCACATTGATATTCAACATTTTTATGTGAACTTCTGTCCAGAATCAGCTGCTGTTGGTTTCGTCGGACACTTAACACAGAAAGATAACGTTCCCATGAAATTACTTTGAAGATTTGCAAGTATTACATTTTTTATGAGATCTTGAATGCATCCCTGCAGCAAAGATTAATTCATTTCTTGCTCTACGTGTTCCCCCTTGGTGCATTACGCTTTGGTGATTTTATTGTGTCCCATCTGAGGGGGTATCTAATATCTCTGGAAGCCTCTGTAGTATTTAATTAAAATAGGCTTGTCAATTCCACGTTAATATAATTCTTGAGCCATGAAGCTGAGGAGCATTCATTAATAAACACCCAATTATTCCATACAAGATTCACACCAAAGAATAGTTTCATTTTATAAAAGATATTGATGTAAAGGAAATTTGTACAGTAACAGATAACGCCTGCAGAGCGTAGAAGTTCACTCATGCATAACACAGGCCAGGTGCATACGCAGTGTTCCTCCTAGTGCAAGATAATGCCTGATAGTAAAGAGTAGCATACTGCAATGTATAGTTTTCTTAATATATCGTCGTTAGAAATACATTTCTCGTCGACGAATGATTTCCATTAATTTCCTTTGAACTTGTTTCCCGCAGCTAATTATAAAATATATCGCTACCCCGAATGGTTCGAAGGGGATTTTAATACTCTCTAATTGCAGCTATGATCCGACCTTTTCTACCGATATACTTTCAACCCCCTTGACAAGAGTTCTGTGTCCAGTCACGCGTACGTGCTGCATTTTAGCCACCACCCCTCCCGTTCTCCCTCACTCCCTCACTCCCCCTTTCGTTTTCTTCCCTTTGAAACATTGTGTTTGGTACCTGCCACCCTACAGGTACAGGATCCACCAACACATCCTTCTGTAACACTCGCCGAATCGACAATGACGTGTTCCGTTCGCATTGGGTGTTCTTCGAGGCTTCCCTTTGATCCGGAGATTATTCAATGCTGCACACCTGCGAGAAATTACATAGCCGATTCTCCTTATATGTAGGTTAGGGTGCCTGATAATCTATCGCTATATACATATGTAATGCACCTAGAATCACGGGTATCCTTTTATCTATCGCTACGCACGCGGTGCGTGCTGTACAATTCTCGATAAAAGCTCGCTTTCTGTACCAACACTCGTATTTTTTATAGCTCAACAGATAATCAATACGTTCTGCAATGTGTTCTCCTCCTTTGATAGCTGAAGACTCTTTAGAATGTGTCAAAATACAAAGATCAATTCGGCCTGTTACAGTCATCAGTCAATTATGTATGTCACAGTTGCCTGTGAGACGTTGGAGGCACAGGAGTCTTATGCCAGTCCTTCCTGTGCTAAGCCAGCTGGAAAATATTATTGATGTTTGTTGTATTCACGGGTACGGGTATATCCTTTGCAGATTCTTCTCTCCACAAACGGGGAGGTAGCAGCGGTGGTGATACGGTGGGAGTAGATAGAGGCGAAGGAGTGATTGCCATGACTACGACAGGAGCCCAATATGCCCTCGCAGCATCCACCAGAGCTAACAACAGTGGGGGTGGTAGTACTACAGTGGGGATGGATCCTAAGCCAAGCGTCGTCGTCGTGACTACTTCCAGCTCCAGTGGCAGCGACAACACAGGACAGAGTCAGTCCAACAGGGGACAGCAACTTATCACCGTCGTCGCCAACCCTGATCCTTCCAGTCCAAATAATCTGCAGCCTATACAGGTTGGTTGGATCACATATCGTGCTTATGAACTGTGGAGGAGCTCTCCTTAAGGGCTCCTCATCATTTGTATGCCATTATATACGAGTTTATACAGAAGTTGACCACAAGAACACGCATACTATGAATAATAATTTAGTTATTGGTTCAGGATCCGCTTGAGACAGCTGCAGAATCTTCGAACGGTTCGACAAGTACTTCAGCGCATGTTACAGCACAAGTAGTGGTGAACACGACCCATACCAGTCAGCATACTCTCGTCAACTCCGACTCCGCGTCCACCTCGACCGGCACCATCGTCAGCGAGTCTCCGCACTTCATCACAGTAACTGGTGCGCCTCTAATCCAATATAACAGTTCCATTAATTAGATATACAATTACCAATTATACTCGTGCGAGAAATCGAGAGATTAGACTTAAAGACTGTTAGCGTAGAAGAGTTTGTTATAAGTCGTAAATAATGTTAGGGGTGAGTATTAGGATTAGTTTGAAAAATATTATAGTTTGAGTAGAGATTTGGCCCTTTCCATGCTGCTGAAAAACATGCACCTCTGTTCTTCTACTCTGACCACACTAGGCACCAGTGACTCGACAACGTACGCTTCTCTCACAACGGCAGTAGGTGAGGGCACAAATTTATCAGCATGCATGCAATTCTCTTATTGAATCGTAAATACTTTTGTTTCTGACGTTTGATTTTGCATGCGTTGCGAAATATAATAGATGTATAAATTTTGTCTTAAGAATGCAAGCTTGTCGACATACATTCCGTTCCTTCTAGCAGTAGGCAGGCATACAATTCGTCGTATGCATCTCATGCGTTGTAAAGATTGTTAACGGTATAATTGAGAACGTTGTGACAATGTTCCAGTGTCCGGCGAACCGGAGGCGGTCGTGTCCGAGACGGTGTCTCATTCTACCTATGTTCAATACGTTGAGGGGGATGGCTCCACGTATATACCGACGAATGGCCAGATGTAAGTGCATCGAGACGTCGCAATTCGAATTCCTTGATTCTAAAGACTATTTTTGTCGCAGGACATATCCTGTGTACGCTGTTGGAGAAACAGGAACGATGTACACTTCTGCCTCTAACCAGTACTACACAGCAACGTCCACACCGGTGACTTACGCTCAGGTAGTTCATAAAACATCTTTGATCGATGAAAACACAAGTGAAACGATTCGATCTATCGTTATTGTTTAGGTCTCTGGTCAAGGTACAAATTCCACGACCGGACAATTACTATCTCAGGGCAATGGCACATACCTTATCCAGCAGAGCGTGGTGGACGGTGACCCGGCGACACACGCGTTAATATCAGCGGCGACCGCGCGCGCCAGCCCGCAGGCAGAAAATGCTGTAAGTACATGTACACCATTTCTCTTGCTATCGATTTCTCTTTGTCTTCCTCATAGAATATGTAGTACTCTTTTTAACATTGGGTATTTAATACGGTATTGGTATGTTGGCTTATTAGGAAACTGTGGTTAGTGGGGGTGGAGGGACGTACTTGATCAGCGGTAATTCAGGAGGTACCGGTGTCACCGTGGAAGACGCCGCAGCCGCGGCTGCGAACATGACGCATGCAACTAGAGTATCCCAAGCAACAGTAAGACACATTTCCTATTCGCGGGCTTAGTATCGCTGATCGATAGATACTGGATTTTTATTAAAAATTTATGATTGCACGACTGCTTTTCTGTAGTAGTACTTCTTCGTTGTTCACTTTTGCATTTAGCATGTGTCTTCCATTGATGAAGTCCGTAAATCTTTTTTAATTTTTCAAATCATTTCTGATCAGGTGCACTGGTTGCTGGAGAATTACGAGACAGCGGATGGTGTCTCCCTTCCAAGATCCACTCTGTACAATCATTACCTACGACATTGTTCCGAGAACAAGTTGGATCCCGTGAACGCCGCCAGTTTCGGAAAGCTGATACGTTCCGTATTCCTGGGTTTGAGAACCAGACGATTGGGCACAAGGTGAAGAATCATATCATTCCTCTTGCAATGGATTCGCTTTTCATCGTTACAGTTGATTATATATTTATTACAGGGGGAATTCGAAGTACCATTATTATGGTATTCGCGTGAAGCCGAGTTCCCCTCTCGTGATGCTGAACGAGGACGGCACGCCTCGTCAGCAGCAGAACTCGAACTCGCTAACGAAACGGGTCAGGTTCGCGAAACCGGACCACACGTACGACGCGACGCATTCGCACACGAACGTCGCGTCGAACAATTCACCGCAGTTTCACCAGTACCTCGGTGAAGCGAGCGGTGCGATTCCAGAGTTCCCGGAAATAATAGTCGGCCACGGTTCGTCCCTGCCGGAAGATTGCACGCTGGAGGACATAGATACGTTCCGCAGCATATACAGAGAACACTGCGAAGCGTTCTTAGACGCCGTTCTCAATTTCGAGTTCGCTACTGTGGAAAGCCTTTGGAGAGAATTTTGGCGTAGCCAAGACAATAATAACGGCGACGAATGCGAGGAGGAGAAATATTTGTCGAAGTAAGCTTCATAAAATCAAATAATTCGAAATAATCACCTGCGGCAATGTATCTGTTTAATTACGACTGTTCAGGACCAAGCTGTACCAGATGTGCAAATGTTCGGAGGTTCAAGATTTCATAAGGACAGTTGATTACACGTTTTATCAAAATTTGGTAGAAGTATTAATGCCTAATGTGTTGCGACCTATACCGAGTAAGTTAAACTCAGACGTTTTCATTTACATATATAGACATTAAGGTATTAATTTGATGAATTATGTTCAGGCACCTTAACACAATCTATTCGGAATTTCGCGAAAGGATTAGAATCGTGGCTGACGTCGGCGATGGCTGACTGTCCCGAGGAAATGACTCAGATAAAGGTAAAACATCGCAGACCGTGACCAAGAAGATCCCTGTTCCCCTAACGATACGTTTCATTCCAGTTGAACGCAGTTTCTGCGTTCGCTCAGACGCTGAGGCGTTACACGTCGTTGAATCATCTTGCTCAAGCTGCGCGTGCAGTGCTCCAGAATTCTAGTCAAATAAATCAGATGCTGGCCGACCTGAATCGCGTCGATTTTCATAATGTTCAGGAACAGGTATACCTCCCCGTGATTGAGAAAACGTTTTAATTAAAGTGATGAACACTATATAATGTTATTTTAACAGGCTTCCTGGGTTTGCCAGTGCGATTACGCGACGGTACAACGACTGGAAGCAGACTTCAAAGTGACGTTGCAGCAACAAAATTCATTGGAGGACTGGGCAAGTTGGTTGAAGAGCGTAGTGATGCAGGTTCTCAAGCCGTTCGAGTCGAAACCGTCGTTCGCGAAAGCTGCTCGACAATTTTTGCTCAAGTGGTCGTTCTACAGGTAATTGTGTGTTGCGAATATACTGTCAGTCGTACACAGACATTACTCTTTATCGTTCCTCCCGACAGTTCCATGGTTATTCGTGATCTCACCTTAAGAAGCGCAGCTAGTTTCGGTTCTTTCCATCTGATTCGGCTGCTGTACGACGAGTACATGTTCTATCTGATCGAACACGAGGTCGCGGTCGCTACAGGGACAACGCCGATTGCAGTGATGGGCGATGTGCGTTCAGATTAACAAACTTGAAACATTTTCTGCCGATCGTTAGATTAATAGAGTGTCGTTCATTTTCAGAAAAGTCAAAACTGTTCTTTAGTTAATGCGTTCGGTGCCACGTCGAACGGAGGTAAAGTATCTGAGAGTCATTATTTAGAACGATATCTATTTAACGAGCTTCGATCCCTTTCAGACACATCAAACACTGATCAACCAAAGCGTATGAAACTAAGCTAACTGCGTGCCTACGTAATTTAGTTTTGGAAATAATGCCAGTAGCACCTGATAATGAATCGTTAGCACAAGAGCATGCAGGCCTACTAACACACTAGTCTCATAAATTATAATTTTATATATATATAGGACGAGATCTTATCGTATTACGACTTAAAAGAAAGAAGATTTTTGCATAACGCCCAGGATGTATACAATCTAAGTAAGTTTTGTGTGATATATCGCGTAGGTATGTACATATAATACGTATGTTATGCATTCTTCGTATCATATGGAACCGTTGCGAGCGTATGATCCGAGGTGTCGTTGGTACGATCTTTAATATGTATCATCTAGTCGAAACATCTTTCAAATACGTACGGGACCATGAATTTCTCATGCCCTTGTAGTGCACTCGATGTTGCAAGCTCACTCGACTGCGTGTTCTGACCAAAACTCTAACGCCTTGTTTTAATTAAGAGACGAGATAAGCAATTGTTTGATGTCTGGACAGGATCATGCCGTACTTTGTACCGTAACTTTTTAGTACCGTTAGGCAGCTGGGTCGAGTGAGCTTAAAATAGCAAACGTCAAGTTTGTGCAGAAGGAAACGTACTCGAGAGGGAGACGAGACAAGTTTACCCTGCATGCATGTTCATATCGACGAATTCTATTTTGCACAAATACCCGAGTAACGTTATACGAAATCCGCCCTGACGACGGTATTGTCAAAATGAAGTAAGTGAAACTATTCCTATATCGGGGAGAGCGAGAGGGAGACGAGAGCAGATGCGAATTAGATTAACTAATTATATATATAACCGAACACGAGTTTTAGATATATCTCCGACATTCATATTTTTTAAACGCAATTTATTGATTGTACATCGAGCTAAAAGAAGGAAAAAAAAATGATGTTCTGTTGTGAGCCGTCTGTTACACTCTTAATATATATATATAGTATATATATATATATTCTTTCAGTATTTTTAAACGAATAGTACAAAACAGCGACGGATAGGGATGACGAGACGGAATCGTTTTGATTTACTGATAGAATATACGCTATGATTCTTATAAAATTAAATGTATATACGCGATAAACGGTGTGGCAGAGGATAGAGAATTGCATAGTTGTTGAAAAAGTGAAAAACTGAATCCAGATGAATATGCAAACTGTAACGATATAGAAGCTCCGCGAGTGTCTTCGAACTTCGTGCTTCGCATTTATTAATTAATTTTACTACGTACTACGTGAAACTGCAATGACTTTTTGTATATTTGTAGACACTCGGTGTTAAACTTGTCTCTCTAGTGAGGTAAACTAAATTTTAAGTAAGTAATTGTACATTTCACGTTGCATCTCTTTTTTGTTATACCATGTATTATTTTTACGGAAATACGTTTTGTTTTTTTTTACGAACTTGTTTTCCTAACGCGATACATTACCAAAAGACTTAATATTTTTATTTCTGTAGGCGCCTTAGTTCAGGGGAAGTATACTCATTCAAAACTTTGTATGCATCTACGTTCTGTTCTAATCAAAATTCGCATATTTCATACGCATTCATGTGCATTATTGTATAATAATCTCATGCGCGCGTATTTTATCTTTTGGAACTAGTACAACGTTTCAATGAAATTGACATTGGTACTGTTCGAAACATTTTTCCAATTAGACTTCGCAATCAGTTATCATTTGTAGGACTTGCACTCGGAGGATCGCGCTATATATTTCAGTTCATTGATGCATATACGTGCGGTGTGCATGTACATATACGTATGTAAAGTTTAAACGCTTGCACTATTCGCGACGGGACGCGAGTATATCAGAGGATTCCTCAGTCGAAATTGTTAAATAGTGGCGTACATTAGTTCGTTCGGGTACAGGATCGATGTCGAAGAAATGTATTTTTTACCGCAAACCATCGCTGTATAGATCGTTCATCATCTAAGCCCCATAAACGCGCATCATCGTACTTCGAACGGAGTCAAGGATCCTCTAAGGAAAATCTGAAGCCGGAAAATCCTACGACCAAACTGAGAGATGTTTGGCAAGACAGGAAGAAAGAAAAACTTGGTGCCTTTTATTTCACGCAAGAGGAGAACGAATAACATTTTTTTACTGTACCTTGATTACACAAGGAATCGAGGCCAAACGACCAAAACGAATGAAACTGATATAGTTAACGCGCTCTTCCTTTGGGACTTCTTTTCTAGCGTTTTACTTTGACGAAAGAGTTTCGCGAGCTGCGAGTACGAATGAAATCTTAACATACGCTGAAATAGCACTGCTTCAATTAAATTGAGCCATCGTTTTCACGGTGAAAGAAAGAGAGTAAAGTTTCTTCCAAAGTAAAATCAACTTTACTGAAGATCATAATAAAGGGTACTAAATAATGGTCGAGGTTTTATTAAATTGCGATATTCGCAGGT